CTGGGCCTCTTGCAGGACCTTTGGACGGCGTTGCAGTGGATTTTCTCTCCGCGGAGGCCAGGTAGAGAGGGAAAGGCGGAGTCCAACCAGAAGGGACAAACTGAGGATAGGGCATGCTCACCCCGTGGCAAAACAAGAGAATCAGGGACTCCCAGAAGAAGCTGGTCACCAAGGAGAGAAAGCCCCAGAGTGGGGCAAACCAGTACGACCCCAGAAAGGCGGCAGCAGATGGAGTGGATGCGAGAATCACCGGGACGATCGCCAGAAGCTCGACAAGCTCAAGCACGGATCTTGGAAGCTATGGTGCAGCGGGCTCAACCGGTGGTTCGAGACTTGCAAGACATGCATCGCCTTGGGGGGGGGGGGTCCGGGCCCAATGCTGCGACGTGGATCCCGCATTCAATGAGCGCTAAGAGGGCATGGGGACATGACTGGTTTTGCCGCGAGGGACCCCCAGAACTGCATGAGTGGCTTAATTCAGAATCGAGTGCATAGGAGCGCTAGCCATTTTGGTGAGCGAGATCGAGCAGACCCAGGTTCCAATAGGGCGGATGGCAGAAATCCGGAGACGGAAGTGGCGAGGGCGAGTAGAGGTGCAACTAAAAGAGGCCCCTTTGAAGAGGTCATGAACATCCTGAAGGGCAAGGAGGAGTTAGCAAAGGCCAGACGGGAGTTGAGAGAGGGGTTCATGGCCAAGTCGTCGAGGGCCTCCCAAAGAACAAAGAGAGAGCAGGTGATGGCAATGGCGAGGGAGGCATGCAGCCGAGGTGAACGAGTCTTCCCCCTGGCCGTTGAGACCGTGGAGAACGTGGCAGCCGCTATCAAAGCAGTGGGCTGGACTTCAGGAGACCAGTACGTCAATGAATTGAAACTGATGCATCGAAGCAGGCTGGGAAGTGAGTCAGCAACTCAACAAGGCCCTGGTGGACGGCAAACGATCACTGAAAAGAGGCAGAGGCCTGGTGAGAAGAGCTCCTGAATTCAAGCTGGACGACATCGAGCACCTCAAATGGATCCTGGTCTGCAGAGGACCAAAGAAGACCATCAGGCCTGCCTTGGCCTATGCGTGGGCAGTGGTGTGGATGTTGAGAGAGATAGAGGTCAGTGCGATGAAATGGAGGGACATCTCCGCGGATTGGGACAAGAAGAGGGTTTCCATCTACATCCCAGTGTCCAAATGTGATCAACAGGGCCTAGGCGTGCGCAGAACTCTGCAGTGCTGCAACGGCAAAAGCTGCTACAGGTGGTGCCCGTGGAGACTGTGGACGGAGATGTGGAAGGCTTTGAGAGGAGCAGAGAAAGATGCCCAAGACTTCGTGTTCCAGGACTCTGAAGGCAAGAAGCTCTCCAAAGCCAAGATGGTGGAGGGTTGGGCAATGGTCACCTCAGAACATATCCTGGAGCCATGGGATATGTGAGGTTGGGTATGCCCATACAGGAGCTAGCCTTCTTGGGTCGCTGGAGATCATCGGTGGTGCTCACTTACGCGGAAGATGCACTGCAGTCCGAACCTGCCAACAAGAACCTGAGAGTGAACGAACCGGCCACGGCCAAGAGACAGTTGAAGAGCCGGGGGGAGGAGATGGACACAAACCAAACCACGCCTTCGGGACCTCCTCAAGGTACTGCATCAATGGAAGAAGAAACGGTGAAGCCCCTGGAGGTGCAGAAGAAGTGCGAGGTGGTGGTGTCGGAACTCCCCAAGAAGCTCTGGGTGGCCTCTACCGCATACAACTCCAGAGAGCGTGTATGGCATCAAGTGGAAGATGCGGGTTGGGATGTCCCCATTGAAAATTGGACATCAATTTGTGGATGGCCTTTCAGCAGGAACTCTTCGAAAGTGATGCTCAACTCCCAGCTTACCTTCTCGCAGAGAAAGTGCAAGAGATGCCTCAAAAGAGCTTGCGGCGTAGCCATGGAGGTTGGAAATGCAAGCTCGAATGTAAAGTGAAAGCAGGAACCACT